ATAAAAATCATTTTGGTAATATATAGGCCTAAGTGGTTATTTTTGTAATGAAATATTTTATATATTGATCAATATGAATAATAAAGGCCACTAGGTTAAAATTAGGGTAATAGCGTCGTATTTCAAGTTCACAATATTATTAAACATTGTATTAGTTTTAATAAAGGTTACTAGGTTAAAAATAAGGTTACTATGTTTAAAATAATGGTCATTATGTTCAATATAAAGTCAGTTGCGTGTGTATAGACCTCGGGTCCACAATAATATTATTGTAGACCAGGTCCACGCAAGTCTTTTTGCTTTTTCTATGGTATACTTTGACTTTAATGATCTCCAATACACATCTTTGACCACATTAATATTAATTTAATATAACGGTTTTTTCACTACATACCCCTGAGTTTATTTATATATTCACCATATATCTATGAAAATTTATGATCCGGTGAGAACAGGCCTATATGTGAGAATTTATACTTATATGAGAACATATTTTAAATTTAGAACATGTGAGTTAAAATTTAGAACATACGAGTAAAAATTTAGAACATGTGTCTCAAATTAAAATTTAGAGCATATGAGTAATAATTTAGAACATCTATATGAGTAATAATTTAGAATATATGATTTAATAATTAGAACATGTGACATGTGAGTAAAAATTTAGAACATCATACTTGACTTTCTGTAGCATAGCGTTTAGAACAAAATGCCTAGAAATTAAGAACCTAGACTCAATGATTCTTAACATATGTAATAGGTCTTAGAAGAATAAACTTAGCTTTTCAAAATATATTTTTAATTGGAACATGGTACTCAAATTTTAAGACCTTGAACTCAAAAACAAATCTGAACATATATGCAATATTTTTTTAAGAACATATGCAACATACAGTATTTTAGAACATATGTAACATTTTTTAGAACATACTTAAATTTTTTAGAACATAATTCGTTAATATTAAACACGAATTGAAAGTCCTTTTTTACAACGAATTGATTCGAAATCAGTTTATTCATGATTTCCAAGGTAACAAAAACATATGAATTGTTATTTAGTTTCTTATACTCAATTAAAATTCCTTGAAATTTCAAACTCTATAATTTGCCCAATTTGATTGATTTGGATGAAAAAATTTTGATTTCACATATTAAACTGTCAATTAAGCTTGGTTTACCTTTGATTAAGCTTCACAACCTGAATTATTGACTATAATTGTTCAAAAGTTGATACAAAACACATGAAATTCTTGAGCATGTGGTGATGATAGTCGTCATGGAGAGGAGAGAGAGTGTTGGCCATGATGTCGGGGAGAAGAGAAAGAGTGATGGTGGTGGAGGTGACGGCATAAAGGCTATGGAACAAGCAATGGTAGTGATAGAGGAACTAGAGATTGGATAGGATTGGTGAGGAGAGGAGAGAGAATGTTGAGATTGAAGATGATGGGCTTAATTTAATTTCAGAACATCTACCTTAAGTCCTTAACATATTAGAATATAGATGTGTTCTCACATAAAAGAGGTGTTCTCACATGAGCCTCTCCTTATATATATATATATTAATTATTGCACAGCTTGACTGGACATACTTGTTTTTCGATACATAAATTTGATTATTAATACCTTCAATTTCGATATTAAATTATAAAGGTTGGTATGATGAAAATTTACATTGTAATTTTGTAACAAATCAATACCATATTGCATGACAAAATTTATTATTACCGTATACATTGGTTAAAAATACAAGTCAAAGCCAACGTTAAATTTTAAAGGTTGGTATTATGAAGATTTACATTGTAATTTTGTTAACTAATTCAATACCATATTGCATGAAAAAAAATTGTTTTCTACCTTATACATTAGTTAGAAATACAAGTCAAAACCAAATTTTTCGTATTTCATATTACTAATCACATCACTCATAGGACATGTCTGACTAAATGTAGCTGTAGAGTTATCTGTTGGTTATTATAGTATCTATTAGCTGTATGTGTAGATGTTAACTGTCAACTAGTTGTTAGTTGTGAATATAAATAATTAAGTATGAGTGTTTGGTAAACTAGCTGTTAACTAGCTATTAGTTGTGAAATTCTAAAAAAATATTCCAACACCTATCTAGATTTTCACAAAAGCTACCCCAACCACTAAACTCTACTCCCACCACTTTATTGCCAAACACTATTTTCTCCATTTTAAAATACGTACTTGCTCCATTTATCTATGTGCGGAGTTCTATAATAAATTAAAGAAAGTAATAAAATATAGAGGTAGTGGGGTAGATGGTAGAATAAAAATAAAAAATTAAAAAAAAAATAGTAGAGAGAATTGGATAAGAGAAAATATGAAATTAATAAAATATGATTTATGTTAGGTCCACTAGATAAGAGAAAATGAAGTAAACATTGGATAAAATTTTCAAATAAGGAAATAGAGCAAGTGTTAAAAATGTTCGTAAATAGAAAGTAGAGCAATTATTTAAAAACAGAAGGAGTAATATTTTTTACAAAGTAATGGTTTGAATAAGTCAAACTACTTAAAAGCTAGTGTTGAATACTCCCATATGTATATATTGACAAACTTGTTAAATCAAAATAAACCAGCTTAATTTAAAAGGAAAATGTTAAACATAACCCTAAGGGCTACATATAAGAAGCTTAAAATGGAAAAATAAAATAGAAATATAATATTAATTACCTTGATTTGTGCTTGATTTTACTATGTATTTCTAAATTAATACTCATATTAGATTACACTTATTTGATTACATAAAGAGTAAAAAGAAAATTTGTTAATTACAGCCATTTAAACTTTATATTTTGCAAATTGCAGTCGTTTTTAAAAAAATATTGCAAATTGAAGCCCAAAAATTGTTATAAATTGTAAGTTCGTTGCAACCCAATTTAATTTTTTTCATCGGTTTTCGTGTTGAAAAGTTTTCGGTTCAGGTTATAGCGACCATTTTAGCTCTTAAGGGTTCAAATTGAGCTCGGAATTGACAAACAATTAATGTAAGTGTCTTGTTTAAACAACAAAAAATAGTTGCACACAAATCGATATATTTTTGCTACACAAAACGAGGCACTAACGTTATTTTTGTTGCTAATTTCGAGCTCGATTCGATTCCTTAAGGCCAAAATTGACCCTTAAAACCTTTTACCCGAATATTTTTCAACACGCAAACAAAAAAAAAAAGCTAAATTGGGTTACATTTTACCATTTATAAGAACTCTTGGGCTGCAATTTGCAAATTGTTTTTAAACGAGTATAGTACAATTTACAAAATACGAAGTACAATCTTTAAATGACTGCAATTAGCAAATTTTCCTTAAAAAAGTACTTAATACCTTTATTAAATATTATGTGCAACTTTGAAATATTTTATATCTTATAGATAAAACCCTAAAGTTGCAAATTACTCCATCTGTTTCATAATGTTAGTCACATATGGAATTAATCACATAAAATAAGAAAAAAAAATATATTTAGAATCTAACATTAAAGTACAACATAATTCATAATTGCCTTATTTAATTTTTTTGATTTTTTATTAGGAAAGCACAAGTCATAATTGCATAATTTAAGGTAAATATTTCTTGGATGATTTACAAAATATTGTTACTTTAAAACTTATTTACACTTTTGCGTCTGAATGAAATTTATTTACGGAACTACTGTCCACGTAGGCTCGGATAAGGGTTTTTTTTTTCTTTTTTTAAAAAAAATTTAGAGTAAAACCGCTACCTCTACCCTTCATAAATTGCTACTTCGTATCTTTATTTGGAGTACTAAACACACAACGCTACCTAAGTAGCGATTTTAGACTATAACCGTTACTTAAGGTAGCGGTTTGTCTCTAAAGAAAAAATTTCCCCCAAATGTATTACCGAGCCTACGTGGACTATATTTTCGTAATTAAGTTTCATTCCAACGCAAAACCGTAAATAAGTTTTTTAAAAACTACTAAATTTTTGTAAATCTTCCATACTCCGTATTTCCTTACTTGGAGTTATGTCATATTATCATCAATCCATAACCAATTAATTCCAAAAAAATCAAGTTATAAATAAGATATATTCAATATGAGTAGATTTTTTAAAACGCCCAAAATATTAAATGGGACTAAGGGCCTGTTCTCTTACGTTGAAATTCAGTTCAGCTCAATTCTTAATTTCCTTCTCTTATAAATATTCATTTTAGTTCAGTTCAGTTCAACTTAGATCAGTCAATGAAAACAGGCCCTACCACTATAAAACAGAGAGAGTAACTTCTAAGGGAGGTAGTATTTAAAAATTACTCCGTAAGAGGTAAGACTAGCACCATAGGGCAGTGGAGCCCGACGACCCCACTACCCCATGTTCTAATGCCTCTTTTCTTGGTCCATCCAACACCAACCCCGTTTTGGTTTTGGCTAACCCTAACCTTCACTTTATGAACAACAAAACTGTAAATTTCAGATCTCCATTTCAAAACCAATTCAAAATCCCGCCCTTCATACTGTAAATTTCAAACCCCAAATTTTAATCCAATTTTTTTCACTAATTTCAGATTCAAAATCAAATTTTAACCCCAAAATCATTTTTTAGCATGTGATTTCTGAACTACCGCTATCCATTACTTCCCCACTTTCTACTTGGCTACTTTTTTTCTCTGCTTTTTAATTTCTTTTTTTTTGATTTTTTTGTTTTTGGTTTTCTCTCTCCTACTTTCTCCATATTCATTGACTTACAGAGCTACTAAACCCAATCATTTTGCCAAGTTTTGAAGTAAAGAAGACTCAACAATTTCAAATCTGGGTATTATTTCTCTGCCTCCCTTTTTATTTCTTATGATTCCACTATTTTTTTCTTTAAAAATTGGTCAAGATTTAGTATTTATACCCTCAATTTGTGCCATTTTCTTTCTTAATTTACTTGTATTCCTGCATCATTTAATGACGGGTTTATTTAATTTTGTTATATGTTTATTTCATTTTTGGATTTTTATTCAATTTTTGTAAATGTTTTTTTTAGGGTTGTTATTGAGAAATTTTTTTTAATTGAAGTGAAATAATTTTTAGTCATGAGTGTGTTTTTATTTATTAATTTTTTCTGGGTTGTTGTAAATCTTAACAATTTTTCAAAATTTTTTTGGATTTCTTTTTAAAATGGGTATTTTTCCTTTCATCTTTAACTAAATTTAACTAATTTGCTCAATAACTTTAATATTTTTGGGATTTTTTGAGGGAATTTTTGGGTTGTATTTTGCTGATTTTACTCTTGTCTTAAATTAGAATTATGGAAGTTAGATTTTTTTCACTTTTAATGATACTTGGAATCGAAAATTATACCAGACACATGAATGTGTCCAAGTGGCTTTTATTTTAATAAAATTTTTAATTTTCAATGTTTTTGATTCAAAATTAATGGTCAAAGTATTCAAACCCATGTCAGAGTATCGAGAGTCCAACACGGTACTTAGGTAAATCGAAGAGTTTAAACAATCGAGTTCACATTTGTCTCTTAGATTGATTGAATTTGCTACAATCATAGATACATTTTTCTGGGATTGTTTTTTCCTATATAGTAAGCTTAACAAGTTCTTCAAACATTAATGTAGCACTTTATGTGATAAATTTGAACTTTAAACTATGTTTTTAATAGCTAAAATTACACTTTTATTTTGTAAGAAAATCATATTGCAATCACATTGTAATAGTCTAATTTATATATATTTATGTGATTCATTTGAAATGATCAAGGTATTTGGAGCTACACATTATGCATCCATCACGAGATAGATTACCAAGACCTGTTGACATATCCTCATTACTGCAAAATGCTGAACGCCAAGTTGATCTCGTAGTAGACGAACCCGGGTTACGGTGGATGGGATTATCAACCCAAAATGTATCAACAGGACAAAGTAGTGGTGACAATGTTAAATCAAATAAGCAAAGGGCTGGATTACAAAGAATACGACACCGTCGTCGGTATATGAATAGATCATTGGTTGGTAAAGAGAATCAAAGGCCAAGAAGTGTAAAAAAAGGGCATGGAAGCAGTATTTTGCCTTCTTGGTACCCTAGAGTACCTTTAAGGGATATTACTGCTATTGTTAGGGTAATTACTCTCATCTTTGTGATTTACTTTTGGTACATTTTTGTGTTAATTTGTTGGCATTTGGTATACTTAATGACTACTAGTTAATGATTTGATGAGGTGTTTGGTTATGATTATGTTTGTTAAGCATGCTTCCTTCATCATCAGATCAGGATTAGAGTATATTCCGAATTTGTGTCAGGGAATCATGGGTTTTAATTTTTTATTAACATGATTGTTTCTTTGTGGGTTATTTGATGGGTGAAAATGGTAATGAATTTGTTTGTAAATTTGCGAGGATTACAACTCCTTAAGCAAAAGTCTATAGTACTGGTACTGGGTACTATACTATCTCCAAGTATATGTTGTTCTTTGTATTTTTTCGTTGGGCTCGACACCATATCTAATATGGTAATGGGTGATAATGAAAATTTTACAATTGAGACTTATACTTGAGAAAAGTTGCATTTTTGTGGATATTGAAATCACAAAAGTACAGTCAAATTCACTAACATTATTGATATTCATTACTCCCTCCGCCCCGCTAAGATTGCCTCATTAGATTTATGGATCAAATGAGGCAATCTTAGTGGGACGGAGGGAGTATTGCATACCAAATGAGTCTTCACGAGTCCAAGTCTCATAAGTAGGCTGTAAACTCGCTGAAGTTACATGTGATAGATTGCAAGTTGTGTTTAGGTTATAATAATGTTGTTTAGGTTGGCTGAAACTTTGGAATATGCTTGAATGCAATTTAGGAGGATCAAACATTGATTTGGTTTCCTCGTACGGGTATCATATCTAATGATCTGATCCTAACCGTTGACCTAAAAAAATGACAAGTCATTCTTGTAAAAATTACAGTACCTGTGTAACATTATTTGTTTGGTGTACTGACTTCTGTTATATTTAAATTTTAGGGGTATGGTCTGTTACAAGATACTTGATTTTGGATTATTTAATTCCAACCACCTCCATTGCCACGACTTACTGTTTTTGTGGTTTTGTCATGTATTCTCAGTCAACCTTTTTTTAGCTTATGTTGGATCTTTACCGTATGGAAAAGAGTCAACGCCAACGATTGGTTCTCAATTTCTTTTGCTTGTGTTCCTTTCAGTTTTGCTACATAGCTTAGAGTTGGGAATTCATGTCGGACATGGGTTTGTGTCGAAGTGTTGGATTTGTGTTTTTTGTATAAAGATTATGTTTTTTTGGAGTTAAGGCAATTGAAATGAAGTGACTTGAGTATATCATGGTATGCTTATGTTGTCTGACGGAGCATGAATCTATTCTGATGCTTACACAGGCTATTGAGAGGAAAAGGGCCGAACTACGTGACCATCAGACGTTGGAAACTCCTCAGCAAGAAGCCGAGGCTTCAACATCCAACAGCCAACCTGATGAGAAGAGCATCTCAACAACCAAACCTGAAGCATGTAAAGTTAGGGATAGAAATGCTGATCATAAAGGGAAAGAAACCGCTGACATCTTCACTCCACGGAAGAGATTACTTGGCTCAATTGACAAGGTGAGGCATATTTGGTTGGAAGATCAGCGGAAACTAGAGAAGACACCTGCAGCTAAAAAGGCAGAGAGGCAGAAAATGGTGCGCGTTTTAATGTCAATGCGATGAAATAACAACGCCCAAGGAGATTCAAGGACATGGAATCTTAGCAAGAGACTTTCGGCAATCTGTGATGATCATTATATTGCCTGGCTAAGTTATATGCACAGATTTAGAGTGCAGAATTCATTGCTGCAAATAGGAGACCTGGTTACTGGTTAGCCTCTGCTAACAATTTTGGTACATTCAGGCTCTACTTTTAACTTATCAAAACCATAGGCTAATTTATGGTTTTAGTGTAGGACTATTAGCTCACTCTTCATGTACATAACTGGTAAAAACAACGCCTTTTCTAAGGCTTTTATTGCATATGCATGTATATTATTATGTTTTTGTTTAATACTGACATCTACCTAATTATAGTGGCGTTACTTTCCTTGATTAAATATAGTACTTTGCTGCAGGTCTTAACATAAATATGACTATAAAGATGACTCGTTATTGTATGTCGTGAGACTTGTTTTGGAAAGGAAGACCAAGACAGCCTCGCGTACAATGGGCTTGACATTAAATAAACATAAATTGAGTGAAATTTTGGATGTGGATTTTGGGCACCCTTCCGAACTTATGACACAAGTAGTTAGTTTAGCTAGGCTAGTGAGCATGAACGTAGGCTGGGCTTATTTGGGCGTGCCCCATGAAGATTGGAAGCAAGGGGAAGTGGCAAATTGTTCGGCACTAACTTGTTGGTCACAATAACACGTCTGTGTTGCTCTAGCTTTAGACATTTCTAAATTCATTACTATTTTGGAAAATTCTTAACAACGTCGAACATTTACTTTGTATGATATACACATTTTCACTATAGTTAAATATTCTTATGTTTAAGAAAAGTTGTGGAAGAGTTAGTCACTTAGAGAGAGCATTGAATGTTTGTAAATCAAATGATTGCTACTATTCAGTACTACTCTATGGTGCAAAGGTGGATTTTTATCTTCGTTCTTGAGTTTTCCATTGTAACTTTGTCTTCCTCTTTGGGTTGGTTCGCTTTGTTGCCATATTGATGGGTTCTATCCTTAACTCTCAAGAACAATTAGGTTGAGCCCAATGAGCCGCCTCCTATAACTCTATAAGACTTTATCGTGTCCCTGTTAGATAAAATCCCTAATATACAATGAGATTTTGTGCAGCTAACTTACGGAATAGCAAGTTTATAGGGTTATTATATCTCTAGTGACTAATTAAAAGTTAGGGTTTTATATCTAAAAGGCTATTTTATGTACCTTTTGCATTTTTATTTTTATTTTTTTCACGGTGTATTTTAGGGCGTGTTCGACAGTAAATTTTAAATAGCTTTTAGTGGTATGACTAATTCAAACCATCACTTAGTAAAAGTACGAATGCTTGGCAATGTAGTGGTGGAAGTAGAGTTTAGTGGTTAATATTATTAACTTTTGTGAAAAGCTAATTAACTGTTGGATTTTTTTCTTCTACATTACAACTAAACAACTCGTCAACAACTACTTTTTTTTTTTTTACACAGGTCAACAACTACTTTATCAAACACTCATACTTAATTACTCCGTATTTATTTTCACAACTAACAACCAGTTAATAATTAACAACTATATTTTGCCGAACACGTCCCTAATCTCTATAATCTTAATTGCGGCCTAAACAAACACCCGCAAATACAGGATTAATACAAGTATTATTCGAAGTTTTTGTAAACTAAAAAAAAAAGAAAAAATCTAGAATGTAGTTTGGCGTTTAGAGAGTGCAAACGGTACAACTATAGAAAATAGCCCTCCAAATATTATCCATTTCTAAGCAGTACTTTGCAAACCCATTTTCTCTCATTAGCTCCAAAGTCTGTTACAATTTACAACAATGGCGTCTTGCTCAGCTCTTAACTTGCAGTCACAAATGGTAATTCCCCTTGTTCTTCACTTTCCAATTTCAATTTCTATTTTCTTGCGTTTTAATTTCTGCTTCCAAGAATCAATTCTGAGGGTTTATTCTTGTTTTTTCATGTATTAAAACCCTATAAATAAAGTGTAATGTAATGTTCATTCTTGAATCGCATTTGCTATCTTTTGGTAAGGTATTTAATTGTTATTAATCCATTTCATTATAAGTTTCAGCAATTTACAAATTTGGTTTACCCTTTTTTCCCCAATTCCCCCTTTACCTGTTACGAATTAATAGTAACGTTGATATTGTAATTTGAACTAGTAATGTTACGACTAACCCGGGTATCCGGAGTAGTTTCAAGCAGTTTGAGTTAGGAGAGTGCGAGAGCAACAAATGTCACAGACCCCCATTGGGAAAAATTGTTTTCCTATGAATTGATGATGATATAATTAAAAATATTGTTTGAGTAAGAAAATGTTGATTGAAGGTTGAAAAAGGTTAGACTAAGAACAGTCAATAAGGTGGGAGATGGGGTTTGAGAGCTGTTGGTTTAGGGGAGGGAGAAGGGTTTAAAGAAATCTATGTTAGTTCTTAATTTCTTTTTGAGAAATAAGTAGTGCAAAAAATGGTGTTAATTTGGTTGAATTTTCAGGGTAGCTTCTGCAAAACTCGGTTTCATGTTCAAAGATTGCCTATCTCTACTGGCATTACCAACCTGCCACAATCTTACCGTCTACCTGCATCAGCAAGCTACTCAGAAAGTAGGTTGTCATCAACTAATCTTTCTGCATCAGCCTTTGGGTGTAAAGTTTCAAAGACATCTTCAATCCCACGACGTAGTATTCGCTGTATGAGCTCTGCAACTGATGTGAGTTTCCTGTTTATCTACTTTTATGTATTAGTTGGATATTTTTGGGTGCATATGATGTGTCAGTGTCACTGTGGTGCATTTGATGTGTGACTGTGGAATGTTGAAGTCAGTCATCATTATCACTTGAACTAGGGGTTTCATCGAGAAAACAAGGCCGATTGTCATGATAATTTTCTTTGATGCAAATAAGAAAAAAAGGACTTTTAAAAAATGGAATGAATCTAGGTTCTTCTAGACCCATTAAACTGGTATTAGTGTAACACTTTCGTTAAAATTTACCAAATGCACGATCAAGTTATATTTAAGTAAAACTTGATTATGCCTATATGTGATAAATTGTTTATTTGAAAAGAGTCATTTACTCCACTACCAAACATCCTGCTATCACTGATACTTGTGTGTGACTATATGCATAAACTGTAGGGTTTTAGGTACTCTAAGTGGAATTTCATGAATCACATTCATACGCACTTAAACAGGATCTCATGCATATACAAATAAAGATCACATAATAGTTTAGAATTAACCTTTGAAGCGTGAATCCTCTTAGCAATCTTCTTCTCTACCGGAGATAAAGAGCCTCAATTGCAACTCCTCTATTTGGTCCACCGGATTGAATCAACACTCCACCAATGCTAGTTGGACGGGAAAAACCTTTCACCTTTCTTGGAGTTGAGAACCAATTTTAGAGAGAAAATATTGAGAGAAAACTTACGTTGTTTTTCAGAAAACTGAATACTGTGTATTTTAATTATCCCTAACTAATTAATATATAATCATATTATTATTAATTAGGTTAGGGTTTTCTCTCCCCTTTCCCTATTTGGCCGGTCACCCTAAGGCCCACTTTGTGCTTCAGGTTTCTTTATTGATCCAATCTTAATGTGTGACCTTGTAGGATCCGTTTAGGCGGGCTTCGGGTTTGTTACTTACTAACCCAAAGTTCTATAGCATTCTCTAGCAAGACGTATAGACGACCCAAATAAACGAATTACTATCTCCATAATACGATCCATAATTATATTAAGTAATTGCACTAAAGTCGAGGACACATTTCCTTCATAAACTGGTTTATCTTTGTGTGAGTTTGATGGCTACTTAAATAAAGTAAATTTCCCAGTAGGCACCTATAATAGTTTGGGAAAGAGTAGTGTCTCTAAAATTTGGAAATTTGGGTTAAATAGCCCCATTGAGATGATAGGTTTGTGACTTGTGAAGTTGTGAGTGTTGGTGGCCAACAATTATATTTCATGTTCCACACATTAATTTTCTGCTTCAAATATTTCATAACTTTGTGCTTTATTTAATTACTTTATGTAACCCTTATTGGTATGCAGATTAAATTTTCTTTCATGGTCCTTAACTTAAGATTTTTTTATATAAAATTTACTTGGTGATTAGGTTCAAGACGTGCAAGCAAAAGTGACAACAAAAGTCTTCTTTGATGTAGACATTGGTGGAGAGCCCGCAGGAAGAATTGTTATGGGCTTATTTGGAGATGTGGTTCCAAAAACTGCAGAGAACTTCCGTGCCCTATGCACAGGTAAATTTTATTTGTTATTTTGTCTAGCATCCTGTGATTCCTATCTTTCTGCTACGTGTATCTGCTCATCTGGTCTAAAATGTGATGTGATGAAGATTACCTTCTAAACTAAGTGAAAGAACCTTTTCTGTACTTTTTCAGCATTATTTGGTGTATTGAAAAAAGTTTGAAAGGTTTTTTAATCCAAGTAAGACAATTACAATGTATTGCTGCGGGGCCTGTGGCACTAAAGGCTTTTGTTCCACCGTGTTTAACAGAAACAGATTGTCTAGGATAGAAAATCTTCCAACATAAAATTTACAACAAAACAGGAGGAAGACCATTTTGAACTTTACTTAGAAAATCCTTCTCCTTTCTTATTTTTAATGGGATTTAATAATTCTAGAAGTAAGATTGTTCTTCTGATATTTAATCTAGCAACAAATGAGGATTAGGCTATCTTTAAAAGGTTGATGCCTGATATTTTTTTTACAGGTGAGAAAGGTTATGGTTACAAGGGGAGCCACTTTCACCGCATAATTAAAGATTTCATGATTCAAGGAGGGGATTTCACTGAAGGAGATGTGAGTTGTTATCCCCATCTTTTTACCTTGGTGGCTTTGTTTCAGGATCTGTAACATTAAGTGACTGAGTTTGGGTAATCCTGCTTCTTTCAGGGAACCGGAGGAATAAGCATCTACGGTGCCAAATTTGAAGATGAAAACTTTACATGTAAGTGTAGCACACAGGGAAAATGATACATTATTCAGTTAATTTGCTCAAAGTGGGTTGAGATGGTATTCTGTTACTCAGTGAGAGATTGTTCTACCCCCATTTGTAAATTATGACATCTGAAAGTTTCGTATCTCTGAATTATGGTTTTTTTTTTTTTACATAATTATTTATTTTATATTGCAGTGACACATGTTGGACCTGGTGTGTTGAGCATGGCAAATGCTGGTCCTGGTACCAATGGAAGCCAATTCTTCATTTGCACTGTAAAAGTGAGTTGAAAGATCTTATCTCAATTTTGTTTCAGTTTATTACAAATGGACAGATTAAAATCTGTTTAACATATACTTTTATATGTGTATACTCTTTGAACTCACACCTGTAGCTACAATGTCTAGTATCAACTAGCTATTCATGCTTGCTGTAGAGGGCCGGAAAAACTTGATGATGCTGATGTTGACTTGCCCTTACATTTGAGTGTTGTGGACTTATAAACCAACACTTTCTGTGTTCAAATGAGGGATGAAATGAAGGCTTAGAAGCTTGCATTTATTATAGAATTAAAATTTGCAGTTTCTTACATCTGCTTCTTCGTGTTGGGTCACCTTCCCCTATATTCCTTGCTATGATAGTATGATAGTGGAACTTTTGTTTCTTAATGAGGATACTAATTTGAAAGGTTGAAGACATGAGGATTTCAAACACCCTCTCAAAATCTGAGTTCTCAGAACAAAAATTTCAAGTAGTTTTACAAACTGCAAAAATTGCCTTGTGTTAACGGCTAGCTCTTGAGTTTCAGCTCATATCCGATTACTTTAATGTCTGAGAAATTATTTTTGAAGGACATTTTAATATACGCGAGGATACATACGTGAAAGCAAGAAAAATTGGATTGGGAGTTGGGACCTAATATAAACCATGCTTCCTCGTGAATTTTTACCCTCTTTCCCATGCATTTAGCTTATTAATGTGGTAAAGTGGCCAATAATGTGTTTTGTAATTCAATTGTCTGTAAAATTAGCTTTTTAGCTGCTGCTCAACCGGTGTTCTTAGCCAAAAATGAAAGTCAAGTCATTTCTACACTGGCAAAGTCATGTCATATTAGGCTGATACCTTAAGGATCAAAGTGAAAGCATTATCCAGATTTGTGATTCCTTTGCATTCACATTTTTGCAGACCCCATGGCTGGACAACCGCCATGTTGTATTTGGACATGTTATTGATGGGATGGATGTTGTTCGAAAGCTTGAATCCACGGAAACAAGCAGATCAGATTGTCCTCGCAAGCCATGCAGAATTATCAACTGTGGAGAGCTTCCACTGGAGGCTTAATGGTTTTATTAAACCACCACTGAGTAATTGCGTCTACTGATTGAGTCTTTTACTTCCGAGGCTTCAATGTTTATTGTTTAGGCGATAGTACTTCTTGGTATGGAGATATTGTGTTGTACTCTCTATGAAGGCTATCAGTTGTAGAAAACTAGAAATGCTTGTGTTTTTTAAACAGACTGAAGGTCACTTAATAAAGATTATATATGATGTGATTCATGCTTATTTCAATCGCCTAACTTTGAATAGGGCTGTGTTTTACTTTAGAACATAGAAAAACATAATTCTCCTCAATTCTTGCAGGATTGGTTTTACTTCATAGTTTCCATCTTGCAGGGAATCTCTTGTCCATTCTTTCTACTCAATCCATTTCAGGTTAGTTGCGCCACTTTTCATATAAATAAGATGTATTTAAAGAGTTAAGATAGAATACAGTCCTAAACTTTGTTATTTGTGTGTTTTTAGTCCCTTAACTTTAAAGTTTAGTATTTTAGTCCTTCAACTTCAAAGTATGACATTTTAGTCCTCAACAACCATAAATAGTAAATTCAGGCAGTCATCATTAAATATTTAGCTGATTTGGCAAACTTTAGGTACTGAACAAATGACATGGCATTTTTGATTATTTTTTTAAAGCAAAGTTTAGGAGCTTAGACAATTAACATGGTACTCCACTACTCGCATCATTAGGTGTTTAGGAATGTTAATATGTTTTAAAAATAATTATTACTTTTTAATAATTAGATATATGTAGTATAATTGATTGAACTCAAATTGTTTCAAGTAAAAGAGAACAAAGAAAGTATAAAATGTTCCACAAGGTAATTTTCATTTTAGTTAAGGAACTACAAGAGCAAGGTTGTAGAATACTGACCTTAAATACTACTTCCTCTGTTCCTATTTAGTTGACGCGTTTGATTTAGGCATATATATTAGGGAGAGGAGAGATAGTGAGAGAGAATGAAAAAGCAAATGGGGTAGCTTGTAAATTCAAGGTAAAAAAGTTACCCCAAAAGGAAATGTGTCAACTAAAAAAAAACTTCCTAAAAAGGAATACGTGTCAATTTAAAGGAAACGGAGGTAGTATTTCCTTCGGTTTTTAATAGTTGTAACACACATTTTTTCACCATATTTAAGAAAATTGAGGTTCACATGATTTAAGAAAAGCCTTTTGGACTTGTTCCCTACCTACTTTTATGGAAACAAAGCAATCTACATTTTTCGCCATCTTAATTGCTTCGTATTTCTAAGATTATCGATTGAATATAGCCTTGGAAGGATCTGAGATGTACGTGATGACATTGCTGCAGTCCGTCTTGTGTCTGCGCTGCATTCTATTATAAGTACACCACAGTACCACACTACATAGGGGGGATGATGGACCGCTACCCGGTATAGGCTACCTCGCCCAATACCAAGTGACGTCAGTTTTTTTTTTTTGGTATCTTTTATTTAGGATAAATAACAGTACTTAATGACTTAATAACAGTATTTGATAAATTAATAACAGTACCTTAATTTAAAATAACAGTTTTTAATATTACACTGATTTTTACTATAATTCGATCTGATAATTACCTTAAATGACTTTTAACGGTACTAGTTATCACAACTCTACTACTTATACATCAAAATAAATTATTTTAACAGGTTAAAAGCCCACCATGCTTCGCAATAATAGTTATTTAACTAGAGAGTTTTGACCAATACCTGAACTTAGTCGACAATGGAACCTCCGGCGTTCCGAGCTTCCGGCTTTATCAAGGTAGCTAACCCCAACCATGTCTTCCTTAGATCAGGCTCAGCACAGATCTAATTCGTTTCCTACCTTAGACCGTAATCTCTAATTAGACAATCCTTATTGTGTTTATGATGGAACTAAATAGATAGATAACTCATTTGATATATAAGGTTCAAGGGGATAACGTTCCCTTCTTGAACGAAACTTTTATTTAATTTGAAAAGATTACAACACTCATATATTACAACAAACACACAAACTAAAAGCTTAAACAGACATAAGCTGAACTAGAGTTTCTCTACTTTAAGAGAGATGGAGAACCAATCTGTCTCTTAAGGTGAGTATTTTTCTCTAGAGGACTCTCTAATGCTTTCAGGGCAATTCTCTAGCTAACTCTTCCAACTCTGCCTTCACTTCTTGACCTAAGTCCCTTTATATAGGGAAGCAAACTTACATAGGATCCTTATCCTGACTCAGCAAGCAATTCTACACCATTGCTTTTTTACAAAGATACTTTAAGACAGAAACAATTAACCAAACGTGGCTACAGTAAAGATGCCTTGAATTATTGCTGGTGTGGGCTCATGCATTCATAATTTCATCCATCATCATTTCTTGTAGGCCTCCCTCACTATCTTTACTGTCTTCGTAAATAAGATTCTCTCTGCAAAGTTCTGCGACATATTTGGCTGCATACTCTTCATCCCAACTCATGAAAGCTTCAAACAGATACTCATAGCCTTCAAATGACAGAAACTTTCCTCTTTCGATATATTCTAAATATTTGTAGATTGACTCGGTATTGTTTATGCCATCTACTAAATATTATTTCATCTCGTTAGGCGCCACAATTGTTGTGTTACCCACACGAAATATGACAAGAGGAATTTCTTTCCTTTATATAAAATCGTTAAGATATTGTGAAATGTAGAAAAATCTCAATGCTCTTGCTTCAGTTGGATTTCTAACCGTCTTCTGACGAATTAGTATGGGATCTTTGCAATACCTCACTCCCCCAAATACTATTAAGTAATGCGGGGGACTAACTTTTCCTTCATTAACTTTGATATTAGCACATTGTACCTTTACGCTTAACCGAAATTCGTCTTTTTTGTCATCACAATATTTTCGAACCTTGTTGAATGCGTACTGCTGGAACTTTGTAAGTCTTGGAAAGAAAGAGTCATTAGGAGTAGGGAATTCATAGAAATCATGTACCATTCTATAATCCCAAGCCTTGTAATGTATACTAATGAATGGAGCATTTTTATTAAGAGGATATGGGTAGATTCGCAATGATGCAACTTTAGAGTTTTTGGGAAACTCTACTCTTTCTCCCCATAGATCTCGAAGATCAAAGAATTTACTGGACCTTGTAGCCACCAACTCGTACCATGTCCTAAAATCATTATCTCTTATTTTGTTTAATATTGTATCTCGTACATCAGGAATGAGCTGGAATAACATAATTGTTATCTCGAACATCAATATCCTTTGGACTGCCCGATTGAAACCCTTAATTAAACCATCTCGCGAACGTTGTTTTGCTGATGTGATCAAGCCTTGCATTAAGGCCCAACTGGAGGGTGAAACCCGCTCCATTGCCTTCTCGGTCTCATCAATGAGAGTTTTCCTCTCTACATCCATCTTTTGAAGTTGGTATGCAGGAGGTTTTTGTGTAGTCTTGAGCTTCTTGGACGACATTAGCTAATTCTCTGGTCAAGCTGTCTGCCAAAGAATTCTTTGTTCCCTGTATATGTTCAACAGTAAAAGAGAATTGGTTAAGCCATAATTGTCAACGCAGGAGTCTCCCTTGCGCTTGCATATTAGACAAATTCTTTTTAACAAAACCGAGTATGCCTTTGCAATCTGTTCTTGTTAAGAACTGTTTAGGGGCTAAGAAGATTAAAAACTTCTCGAAACCTCTAATAACTGCAAGGATTTCCTTTTGCATTGTAGGATAGTCTAACTCAGCTTTGTTAAAACTTCCACTGCTATATCTGCAAAGTCTTTCTCCTTCTTTTATTTTTAACACAGCACTCCAGTGCTCATTACTAGCATCTGTTTCAAGGATTAAATCATCTTCACTAGTAGGTAGTGTTAGTACAGGAAGGTCTTTACACATAGCTTTTAAATCTTGAACAATTTTGGAATCACTTTCCTTCCAGTTCCAAGTTATTTCTTTCTTGAGTTTTTTCTGTAATGGCTTCCTTAATAAAACAAGATTTTCTATAAAATCAGAAGCATAGGTTAAACATCCTAGAAACCTTTCTAGTTGCTTTCTATCTTCAATTTTATCAGGAAATTTTTCAATCTTTTCTAAAATATGTTTTTGCAATATTATTTGTCCTGCTTTAATTTCTAATCCAAGAAACTCAATTTCTTGTTTAGCATAAACACATTTATCCTTTCCAAGGATTATACCATGCTCTGCACATTTTTGAGTTACTTCTTTAAGATCATTCTTATGTTGTTCTAAATCTTTTGAGAATATTAGAATATCATCTATATAGACCAAACAACAATGATTAAGTTCTCTAAAAATATTATCCATTCTTCTCTGAAATATTTGTGGAGCATTTTTAATCCAAAAGGCATTACTAGCCATTCATAATGCCCTTGAGGGGCACTAAATGCAGTTAAAGGAATGCTTTCTTCTTCCATTTTAATTTGCCAGTAGCCACTCTTACAATCCATTTTAGAAAATGATATGGCTCCTTGTATTCTATTAAATAACACAGTTTTATTAGGAATATAATAGCCATAAAAAACAGTATTATCATTTAGTTGTTTATAATTAATAACCATTCTAGCTTTATCTCTTTTTTCTTCTGCATGATTTCTTACCATGAATGCTGGACTATTTTGAGGACTTTTGCAATTCCTAATTAGCTTTTTATTAAGCAATTCTTTTATTTGTTCATCGAACTCCTGAATATCTGGGTAGGTATAAACCATTTGTCTCAATCTAATAATCTTATTGGGATTTGTTAGAGTTATCTTAGCAAATGCTTTATCCTTTTCCCAATGTTCTAAAGGATTTGTTAAATATAATTTTTCGCATAGTTTTTCTTGTTGCTTATTTATCTGATATATTAATGATGAATCACACTCAGAAATTCTAAGTGCAACCTCTCGTTGTGTAGGAGTAACCCTATCACCACGTTGGCTGCGCGTAAATTCCATTGTCTGATGAGTATATGCCTTTGTTATTTTTCTGTATGGGAACAAAATGACCATTACTAGTAAAGATTATTTGATCAATAGTTTGAGTGCATGGGGAGTATAATCTTTGAAAATTATTTCCTATTATCATATCATGACTAGGTTGATTAGTTGCCCATAAAATGGGAATAACACATTGAACTCCTCCAATTTCTTATTTTAAATCTTCAATTATCTCTGTATGCATCATGACACTATTATTAGCAATTCTAACTTGCATAGGATTTTCGGCCTTTTTCCACAAGAATTCTGAAAATAATGATTTCTTTCCAAAACATGTAGAACAACCACTATCAATATATGCACATAATCTATATTTATTGTAATCCTCAATGCATATATCAATTGGAATATAAATGCTATTAGGATTAGTACTGGATATTTCATTACAAGCTTCCATTTGCATATTAACTTCATCCTCATATACTGGTTCACTTACAGTTTTGGTTTTATATCCAATTACCTTCCTTTTATCAATAGGATTATTTGGATCTTCATTTAACTCGAAATTAGAACATGATCCCATATCAATGCTATGCCTTGCCGGTTGTTTTAAGGCTTTTTTGCTTTCATAATTTTCATTTAGTTTCTTTAGTAGAACTAATATTTCTTCTTCATCCTCTTCTGGCTTTTCATCACCTTGTTTTTTCATTTTTATTATTGTTGAATTTTGTCTACTTAGACTTGGTGTTCTAAAACTCAGATTTCTCTGTAATTTAGGCTTTGTATTCATTCCAATATGAAGTAGTCCTGATTCATCAATTAACATCTTACTTGATCTAATACTAACTGCAGGTTTCATAAAGAATTCTTCCCAAGTTTTTTCAATTTCAATTTCATTAGGATTTACCTTTATAGGTGTAATTTTCTTCTTAGGACCTCCTCCTTGCTCATATTTCTGAGCATCGACTATTTGTTTCTTAAAAGATGAATCTATAGTGTTTACTAAAATTTTCTTATCATACCATCCGCATCAGTAGCTACAATCAATATAATATATACATGTTTTATTTACCCGTCACACTCATTAAATCTATAGACACAATAATAACCTTATATTTGACCTACCAGAACATATATTTTCCTAAGTTAAGCATTGTGCCAAAAACTATATATTATATAATAGTCATATATATAACCAACAGCTGATTAAATATAGTATATACAACACAAATACTTCGTATATAGGTATGGATACTGATAATTTTATATAAATAAAATATACGGAGTATATATTACTAAGATTTATCCCTACCTTAATTATAAAATGGTTAACAAAGCTCTTATAATAGTGCATGGACATTTATATATCTAAAAATGTTCTTTTTACATATATTTTCTCTCATTTAATTTTAAAAGCCTTAAAATTGTCTCTTGAATTCGCTAAATTGATTTAAAAGGTTATGTTTATTTCAATATTTAAAGCCATTTACTATTTTCATTTCCTTTTGTTTTAAATTTTTTATTTAGAATTTATTAGACTATTAGGTTTCAAGCGAAGTCAATATCTGTTTACCGTACAATCACTAAATCAAAGTCGGTCAATTAAAGTTTTGGACACTGCATAGCTACACAACATCCAACACATTTAATGATTACATGCAAATAATTTTAATAAAACTACGCATTCGATATAAGTTTTTAAACAATTTAACTATATATACATTTTGATAGGTTTATATCTATCATATTAACAAAAATTTACAAATGTTATTATTATATTTTGAAAATAAATTTAGACTTTGGAGTTTTGTATAAGATAGATAAAGGATAAGTTAATTCCCGTCATATATGCATTGAGTTTTGGGTGTTCTATCCGGTTCACCCTTTGGGCTAATCCAGATTTGAGGATCTGTTATAGGCTATTAGGTTTCACTCCCCTTCCGATTGTTGTTGCAGGGGAGCGAACACAGGTCCTCCCTACCAAGTGTAGTCTCAATCACCACTACACCAACAACCAAACACTTGGTATGGAGGACACGTGTTATAAAATATTATATTATATACATATACTTTTTTATATTGTAAAAAATATTATACTATATACACATACTATTATAGTTAAAAGTATTATTATGTATAAAACAACATAAATTATTGCACATGATTGTTTATATCTAGTATAGTACATGAGCAATGCACGATTTTTAAATCAAAATGTTAGTTTTTCTAAAAAAAATTCATAAGTAATAGCATTGTTAATACGAATATTACAATTTAAAACACGAGTAATAGTTATAATACATTTTATATCTATCATTTTTCCGTCAAATGTCTAATTCAATTTAACTTTTATTCTTCTTGTTTAGATTGGTTATTGGTTCTTTTTTTTTTAATGCAAGAAAAACAAAAGGTCATTGTAAAAGACATTGTATAGAAACTGAAAGGCCGATTAAAATTAAATTTTTGTTCAAGATTATGTATTTTTTTCCAAGACAACATTTCGGCTCAGCATTCAGTATTTGTCAAGGAGTACAACAAACGATAAAAGTAATTTTTACACTATTTTGTATCTTTATCAAAAACTTTTGTATTCAACCGATTACTTGAATTGAATTTTAGGATAACTTGTAGACTATTTTATGTAACTTTTATCAATAAAACATAAATAACTTTCATTCATTATAGGGTAGCTATTATAATAGGCGAACAATATTTTATTGTACATCTGATTTTTTTAAATGTTTGTATTGATTTCATAACTGACGTCAAACTAAATTCTATCGATTTTATTTAATTTTCATAAAAAAAAAACAATATTAGCCTTTCAAAATACGAAATATTTGTTTCCTTAATTATGCAACTTTAATCATATTGCTTCAAATTAGTTATTATTCTTTAACTTGACTATAAATAAAGATTGGAAAGACTTTATGGATTATTTGTAGTATTGGAAAGTATATATTTATTATGAAAAAATTAAATCAATATTTATGTTAGGAAATCATGAAAATCTTATACATGTATAGAAACTTGCTTTTAGTGTTTGAAGTTTAACAAAAATAACTATGTTTGAATATGTAAACAGTAATTATATAGATATATTTTATACTTAAGATAAGCCAATAAGAGAGTGACATTTGTCATCCTCACATTGAGGCGCTTGTCTTTTAGTATAATATATAGATAGATTGATGTAAATAAAGAGGTTGGTTTGTCCTAATTTTATTTTATTTTATTTATTTATTATTATTTTTTAGTAATGAGTGTATAATTGATTTAATTGCTTATTTTATTGAAAATTGATGTTACTATGTTAGTTTAGTGTGACATTGTTTTACTTCATTCATAATTACTACTCCATCCGTCCCTAAATTACATTCCTCCTTACTAATTTTGGTATTCCAAAATTACATTCATCCTTTCTATTTTTGGTAAGTTTTTTTTTAGTAAATCAACTCTTTTTTTCTGTTTTATATTTAATGCTTTCTCACTCATAATCCTTGTGCCAAATTACAATGAATATGATCGGTTAAAATTTTTTAATTAGGAGCATGTGATTGGTCCTTTTTTTTGCAAAGGATTGATGACATGTCATGAGTAATAACTAATCTATCTTTGTACTTCCTATTGCATTATCTAATTATTGTTATTTGTCTTATTCTTTCCTCTTTAATTCCCGTGTAAATTTCCAAAGAGGAATGTAATTTAGGGACGGGGGGAGTAATTAGTTTTAATTTGTTTTTTTTTGGTTACGAGTACTAATTACTTCAAACTTCTAATTCAATTAGTAGTTTTATGATATATTAAAGGTTTTATAATATAGGAAACCGCTGAGGAATTTTGTTTTAAACCGGGCAAAAAAAAATATTTTTATAATTACATTTGCCCTTAAATTGTTTTAAGGTCTTTTCATGTATTTTCTATCCAACAACTATTACTAAGCTAATTGTTTAAAAGCTTATATAACATGACAAACTAATTGTCAAATTAGCTTGTTATTTTTTTTTTTGACAAATTAGCTTGTCATTGGAGTTGACCATCTAATAACTTTTTTTACTACCTCCGTTACATATTATTTGCACCGATTATATATTTTTCTTCTCTACATTATACTCCGTATCAAATTGTTGCAAATAATATATAACGGATGTAGTATTTTTTTTTTTTTCTGTTAAAGTACACTCGTTTAATTTTTTTTTAAAAAATACCCACCACTCTTCGATTCCGACATTTGACTGCTTCGGCATTGACTCACACGTGCAAGACACGTGACCTACTGTTTTCGAAAATTAGGGTTTGTATACAAACGAATTCGAATTATGAAGTTGATTAGGCTTTCCTTATTAATTCAAAATTTTAGTACACCAATTGAATTGATTTGTTGTATGCGAAATTTAGGGTTTGTGTCTTGCTATGTATAATTGATTACGAGTTGTATTGTCAGTTAGGATGGCTGGTGTTAAATGCTTCTGTGGAATGTTGAGTAAAATATTGTGCATATTATGAAGTTATTAATGGGAACAAATGGAGTTGTCAAGCATCTTTTGAAGTGATTGAAGGTTACATTTTTTTAATTTTTGGGAAATATAAAATTTTAATTAAACAGCATGTGAATGTAGGGTAAAATACTGTATCATTTGTACAAAGTCGTTGATCTTCATCTTATGATTGAAGTGATGCAATTGACTAAGCTAAGGCTCGCATTTCTCACAAACAAAAAAGAATTAACATCATTCTTGTTGTAGTTTCATCCTTTTCACTGCTTATTCTGTTTCTGTCTTACCTACAAATGGATGTCGCTTTGGCATTGTTCGCAACACTGCAGTGTGCAGAAGTGCGAAAGCTATGCTCCATCTATAAATATGAATCTGAACTTCTGAAGTTGCTTGACACTGTCAAAACCATCAAGACTTTCCTCATGGATGCCGACTCCAAGTGCCAAGAGCTCTGCAATGAAGGCCAAAACTGGGTCGAGAATCTTAAGAATGCTGTCTATGATGCGGATGATCTGTTGGATGAATTTAATACCATCGCTCACAAGCCTGGTACTAAAATCTCCAAGAAGGTACGCCGTTTCTTCTCTCCTAAAAATCAACTGTTATTTGCTGTTAATATGTCTCGAGAGATTAAGAAGCTTAGGGTAAAGTTGGATAGCTTAGCTGAAAACCATAGTAACTTTGGGTTTAGTGAGTTGTATAAGCCTATCAAGTTTAAAAAGGAAACTTGTTCTTATGTGTATAAAGAGAGTATAATTGGGAGAGATGATGACAAGGAGGTTATTGTGGATCTCTTGTTACAAGATGACTCGGAGACGAAGATTTCTTTTGTGACTATTGTGGGGATTGGAGGATTAGGGAAAACAACTCTTGCCCAACTCGTGTTTAATGATCTTCGGATTAGAGAGGCATTTCATGGAAATATGTACTGGCTTTGTGTGTCTGTAAATTTTGACACGAAATATATCTTAGGTAAGATGCTTGGGGTGAATGAGGAGCTAGGATTTGAGGGCCTGCACAAAAAATTCCAAGAACAGATTGAAGGGAATAAATTTCTCCTTGTTTTAGATGATGTATGGTCTGAGAATGGTAGAGAATGGGATGAGTTGAGAGACTTCTTGAATTTAGGTGGTAAGGGAAGTAGAATCTTGGTGACTAGCCGCAGCCAAAGGGTGGCAAGAGCTATTGGGAATGGGAGTTATGCAATGTATGAGTTAAAAGGTCTCTCTGAAGAGGAATCTTGGGAATTGTTCAAGGAAATATCTCTTGGACAAAGGGAAGACAAAGTCGTTACTAGTCTACTTGAGATCGGTAAAGATATTGTTAGAAAGTGTGCAAATGTGCCTCTCTCCTTAAGGGTCATAGCCAGTTTGTTGCGTAATCAAGATATAGCAACTTGGCAGTCTTTGAAAAGTATTGATTTGGCTAACATGTATGATGGTGCCGATGGTGTGGACAGCATTATTCCAACATTGATGTTTAGCTATTATCATCTTGCTCCTGAGCTAAAATGTTGCTTTAGCTTTTGTTCAGTCTTTCCTGAGGACTACCGCATTGAAAAAGAAATGCTAATTAGTCTTTGGATGGCCCAAGGATATCTTGTTCCAAGTTCTAAAACAGAGAACATGGAAGATGTAGGTGAAAGATATTTTTCAGTTTTATTGCAAAGGTGTTTTTTCCAAGACGTTCTGCATAATGTATATGGTGGAGTTGAGTCAGTCAAAATGCATGATCTCATACATGACCTTGCTCGGAAAGTAGCTGGAAAGGAAACTTTGACATCGTCTGCTTCTAGGTCACATGAAGTTGAAGGGAAAGTTCGTCATATGTTTATTGATGATATTAATAATGAACATCTGACTAACTGGTTAAGTTCAAGTAATAGTTCAAGTAAGACACTGCGTACCTTTTTAAATATTAATGATAATATTCTGATGAGTATTTCCAAGTGTAGTCGTTTAAGGGCATTGGATTTATGCTTATTAAGTTAATTATTAAGTTAATTTGCTTAAAGTGTGTTGAGATGGTATTTTGTTACTTCGTGAGATATTGCTCCACCTCCATGTGTAAATTATGACTTCTGAAAGTTTCGTATCTCTGAATTATGTTTTTTTTATTTTACCCTCTTTTTCCGTCTATTTAGCTTATTAATGTTGTAAAGTGGCCAATAATGTGTTTTGTAAATGGCTTTTCAATTGTCTGTAAAACTAGCTTTTGAGCTGCTGCTCAACCAGTGTTCTTAGCCAAAAATGAAAGTCAAGTCATTTCTACACTGGCAAAGTCATTTCATATTAGGCTGATACCTTAAGGATCAAAGTGAAAGCATTATCCAGATTTGTGATTCCTTTGCATTCACGTTTTTGCAGACCCCATGGCTGGACAACCGCCATGTTGTATTTGGACATGTTATTGATGGGATGGATGTTGTTCGAAAGCTTAAATCCACAGAAACAAGCAGATCAGATTGTCCTCACAAGCCATGCAGAATTATCAACTGTGGAGAGCTTCCACTGGAGGCTTAATAGTTTTATAAAGACCACCTCTGAGTGATTCCGTCTACTGATCGAGTCTTTTACTTAAGAGGCTTCAACGTTTATTGTTTAGGCAATAGTACTTTTTGGTATGGAGATGTTTGTATTGTACTCTCTATGAAGGCTGTCAGCTGTAAAAAAACTAGAAATGCTTAAGTTTTTTAAACAGACTGAAGCTCAGTTAATAAAGATTATATATATGGTGTGTGATACTGTGATTCACTGATTTATGCTTATTTCAATTGCCTAATTTTGAAGGAAAAATTGCCCGAAATAATCCCACCTTTAGGCCGTCCGCCTAAAATAATCCCACCTTTGGATTATTTTTAAATAATCCGACCTTTTTAGCTAATCCGCTCTCAATGGTCCCAAGTGACCTGTAACCGGTTGAGTAGGTAATTTTTTTTTTTTTAAGTTTTATTTACACGTGTCACAACGTGATTGGTCAAAAAATAAGTTTTAATTTTAACTTTGATTTTAAGAATTGATTAATAATTAACATTTAATTAACATTAATTAACAATTTAAAATTAAAAAAATTAAAAAAAAAATTAAACCAGCCACCACATTGCCTCACAGCGACCCTAGCCACCACAGCCACCTCGCCGCCCCTACCAGACGAGGCCCGGAGAAGCCAGCCACACCGAAGACCCCCGCGCGCCGTACTCCGACCCTCCCTACCCCTTTCCATCGCCACTAATCCACCACAACCATAAATCGAGGCATGGGAAGAGGATGATGGTCAAAATTGGGGCGTGGGGAAGGGAGGTAGCCGGAAAAGGGCAAAGGGAGGGTTTTAGAGAGTTTGCAAGGTGTTGGGTTTGGAGTCGGTGCTGGGGTTGGAGTCGCGCTGGAGTGGGTTGGTGGTTCGGGGGAGGGGGAAGGAGGTTGTCGGCGCTGCGGTGGGATTGGAGTCGTGCTGGGGTTGGGTTTGGGTTGGGGCTGGAGTCGGGGGTTGGAGCCGCGCTAGAGTGGGTTGGGGTTGGACCCCGATGTCGGCGCTGGGGTGGGTTCTGGTGACCGGAGCCGCGGAGGTGGGGATTCAGGCGGTGCTGGGGTGGGTTTTTTTTTTTTTTTTCTATTAAAAAATATTAATTTTTTGTTAAAATTTTTTTTTATTTTATTTTTATTTTTAGACCAATCACAGGCCGCCATGTGTCAAGTAACTTGATATAACAGGTTACCTGACCGGTTGGGACCATTCATAGCGGAGTGAGTATAAAGGTGGGATTATTTAAAAATAATCCATAGGTGGAATTATTTTCAGCGGACGGCCAAAAGGTCGGATTATTGCGGGCAATTTTTCCAATTTTGAATAGAGGCTGTGTTTTACTTTAGAACATAGAAAAACAAAATTCCCGTCAATTTTTGCAGGATTGGTTTTACTTCATAGTTTCCATCTTACAGGGGATAAAGGGATCCCTTGTCCATTCTTTCTACTCCTAAGTAGATTATGGTCCATGGCGACCATGGGGGATTATTAGTAGCAAATGATAAGGTAAAACACGGTTCTAAACTTTGATATATGTGTGCTTTTAGTCCCTTACACTTAGCAACCACTAAAGAGTTAAGGCTTTTGGGGCATTTGATAAGCCTTTATAAAATAGTTCATAAAACGGTATTAATTTGAAAATACATGCAAAATCACGCGTAGACTAGTGTAATTCTTTTTTTGACACAAAGCAAACACACATATACTATTACTCCATCAAAACAGCTTGCCTTTACCAATAGCCTCATGTATCTCCAACGGATACTCTTCAAGCCAAATACGACAATCATCAAAATTACAACTCAAATTGGCTAATGTAATTAATGTTTATATTTTATTTTTAGCTATCTTGTCCAACGCCCGAGCCCATTTTATACCTATAAAAGACGAAAAAAATTGTTAAATGTTGTAAAATAAGGGGGAAAGATGAGAGATTGAGAGAGAATTAATATGTTCATCTTATTCCATATGATAAGGTGTATATATACATACAATATATTAGGGTTTAATTGGATAAGAATATAAACCCTAGATCTAGATTGTTCCGGAATGTTACAAATGAGGATAATGGATATCCACAAATATTTCATAACACTCCCCCTTGGATGTCCATTATCGAAGATTGTGCCTCATTAAAACCTTACTACGAAAAACCCTATGGGATAAAAACATAGTGAAGGAAAAAGAGTACATCATTCTTCGTAATACGCTCGAGATGCTGCCTCATTAAAAATCTTACCAGGAAAACCCAATTTGGGACAAAACCATTGTCAAGGGAAAAAGAGTGCAGCGCGTATTTTCTCCCCCTGATGAATACATAACTTGAGATCTTCTAGTGCCGCAACGATGAATCCAGTATCTTTGGATATCTTCTCATATGTAGTAAGTAAAATATCATTAGTTGATCTTCAATTCTCTAAAATTGAAGTTGCATCTTCAATTCTTCAAGTCTTCACGTGAACATGTGAAGTGTCTTCATTTCACCGTACATGCGTTTATCTCTAATATTATTTTTCGAATCTCGATCTGTTTTGTAGTTGATTTTTAAAAAAAATAAACTGATACAATTATGACTTCTTCTGGAAGTCGTTAATGATAGAAATTGATGATCATTATTTGATAGATCAAACTTCATTAATAATAATATGATGATAAAACTTGATATCATTAATGTATTCTTCAATTTCATATGAATTATAATATAACACATGTAATTATATACATTTATCATGGTTCTTCTAGACCATAATAAAATAGTTTCATGCACAAGCATTCCGTTGATATTCTTTAGAATATTCATAATTGACATGATAGTTCTCTTGCAAATAGTAATTCTCACTAACTTTCATATATGCTCAATCTTCAGGTTGAGATGTCAGTAGTCACATTGACTTATTAAGAGTTTGATAATAATTGAATAGCAATATTCAAGATAAACAAACCAATGCAACCAAAAAATAATACGAGAGTTCTTTGTAATTAAATAAAGCGACACTACCATTAACATTCCAAATTATTAATACCGTGAGACTACTTGTACTAGACCCAAATTAATTAATGAAGATTGGGAATGATATGACATTTTTGAAATGTGTGATTTCATTATTAAAAGATCAAAACCCATGATCAAGATTAATCACCTTTTAAATTCTTCCCAAGATGCGACATAACAAGATAATAATTAGAGTTTTGGTGCTGATAACGTGTTGTAAAATAAGGGGAAAAGATGAGAGATTGAGAGAGAATTAATCTGTTCATCTTATTCCATATGATAAGGTGTATATATACATACAATATATTAGGATTTGATTGGATAAGAATATAAACCCTAGATTTAGATTGTTCCGGAATGATACAAATGAGGATAATGGATATCCACAAATATTTCGTAACATTAAAAACCATCTCATAATTTTGGTAAATTCCAATTACTCCCCGATTCCAACCTTTGACTGCATTTCCCTCCATTCTTTCCTTTCTCTGCTTCGCATCTCTTTATCCACCCCAATTGAAGCACACAGCGACTTCAACTTCACCATTGAAGCTCAAATCTCGCACATCAAAATTGCAATTAACGCAAACGCCAGACGCAATTCAGGCAAGTTTTTATACGAATTTCTTTATTTTGTAAAGTTTGAACAAGCAATTAAAGGTTTTCGAAAATTAGGGTTTGTATACAAACGAATTCGAATTATGAAGTTGATTAGGCTTTCCTTATTATTCGAATTTGTAGTATGCGAAATTTAGGGTTTGTGTTTTTGCAATGTATAATTGATTACGAGGTGTATTGTTAGGTAGGATAACTCTTGTTAATTCACCAAGAAGGAACAAAAATTGTTCTGTGGAATTCAACCTCCAAGAATCGATGGCAGACGAGTTGCAGGTAGGAGTAAACGAAGCGATGCGAAGCAGATAGAGGAAAGATTAGAGGAAAATGGGGAAAAATTAGCAGATGGTGGGTGTGACACCGGGGAAATGCAGTCAAAGGTCGGAATCCGGGAAGTGATTGGAATATATAGAAAAAATTTTAAATCAGGTGTGCTTTGACATTTTTTTATTTTATTTTATTTTTATTTTTTATGATATGGTTTTTTTTCACAAAATTTGTCTTTTATAAGATGGTTTTTAATGAATTTTTCTTATTTCTAACTTGAAATTAATGTCATAATAATACTTGTAAGTTCGTATATGTGAAATCTAATCATAGCTTTCCAGTTTCCACTATTTTAGTTTATTTAATAATTGCGTAAAATCACCTAATCAAACATAGCCTTCTTTAGGAACAAAGGCCGGAGGGAGTACTATTTAAAGTTTTCAAGGGTATTATTTTTTTGGTGGAATAGAGATTGCATGTGAATGTATCGTGACATATTGTGCGGAGTCATTAAGCATATTATGAAGTAATTAAAGGGAACAAATGGAGTTGTCAAGCATCTTTTGAAGTGATTAAAGGGTACATTTTTTTTTTATTGGGAAATATAAGAACATTTTTAATTAGACTGCATGTGAATGTAGATTAAAATATTGTATCATTTGTACAAAATCAGCATCTTATGAAGCGATGCAATTGACTTAGCTAAGGCTCACTCGTTGTATAAAGACGATAGTACAGCTCGCATCTCTCGGTAACCAAAAAGAATTAACATCATACTTGTTATAGTTTCAGACTTTTCATTCCTCAAAAAAAAAAAAAAAAAAAGGTTTCAGCCTTTTCACTGCTTATTCTGTCTTACCTACAAATGGATGTAGCATTGGCACTCGCTGCTGCTCAGACATTGTTCACAACACTGCAGTGTGCAGAAGTGCGAAAGCTATGCTCCATCTATAAGTATGAATCTGAACTTTAGAAGTTGCTCGACACTGTCAAAACCATCAAGACTTTCCTCATGGATGCAGACTCCAAGTGCCAAGAGCTCAGCAATGAAGTCCAAAACTGGGTCGAGAATCTTAAGTATTCTGTCTATGATGCGGATGATCTGTTGGATGAATTTAATACTAT